CAAAATTCACACTTTATTTTTAGGTTCTTTTTTGTTTTTAGTTTGCTCGAGGACGAGCAATACTTTAAGTATGGGGTGTGATAACTCTAGGAATTAGTGTTATCTTAGGCATTTCTAGGCTTAAAGTTGGCTAATCCAAGGGCATTTTCTATATTAGGTGTTTAACTCTTGGTTCTTGTGATGTTATACTCTGCTAAGATTTGTGTATGTGTTATTTCTGAGGTGATTTTAAAGAAAATTGAATCAAAAAGTGCTGAGGTGTGTTCTATGGTGCATTGGTGTGAATTGCAAAAATTGTGAAGAAAATGTTGCAGCATTTTGCTACAGTAAAATTTGACAGCAAGTAGCCTTTGAGTTTGTGAAGGAAATGTTGCAGCAAAAATTTGACAGCAAGCAACCTTTGAGTGACATCAGCATGTTAGAGAGAAGCAAAAAGACAAAAGTACACAAGAGGATGCTGTTGTGCATTGTCAGCTGGATCCATTCACTCACTAGGTGCCACCTTAGTGTCCTTTGTTGCCCTAGCAAGAAGTACACCCATTTTTTTAGTTGAGAAGTGATGGCGGGTATTTCTACCAACAAATCAAGTACTTTCAAGCATGAATATTTGTAAGTCTTCAAGCATTTTTGTTAGTTTAATGTCTTTTGTATGCTTTTTATAGGAATTATAAATAAATGCAAAATTGGATGATTTTGCATGAAGAAAAGAAGAATATTTGCCCAACTTGTGAATCAATGCCAAGAGGAGGCGAAAAAGGATTTTAAGGCACAAAAGAGGAGGCTTTGGAATGCAAGAAAGCGGGCTACAGCGCGCAAAGGAAAGCGAAGTCAGAATGGGACGCGCGCCCGCGCCTGAGCCCGTTGCGCGCCCGCGCCCGAGCCCACATCCAGGGGCGCGCCCGTGTGTGCCCCACATCCAGGCACGTGGCCGCGTGCGCACCCATACCCAGGCACGCGCCCACGCGCCCAGAGCAGGAACGTGCGCTGCAGCTCGCCCAGATGATTGCCCCACGCGCTACAGCGCGCCCCAGCCTGCAACAGCGGGATCCTCTTCCAAAAATGCGCGCCGCAGCGCATTTTCACGCAGGCTGCAGCGCGCGTATGAAGCCCTAGCTCTGAAATGTTGTAGTATAAAAGGAAAGAGATGCCATTTGAGAAGGGGAGCCCAGAAATCTAAAGAAAACATCAAAAAGAGGCTGAAATCCTTCATCTTGGAGGTCCTTGGAAGCTCTTCAATGGATATTGGGTTTTATCTTCTTTCATCTATTTTTCCATGTTGAGCTAGACATTAAATCTAGGGCTTGATGTAGTTTTATTTGAACTATGTTTTGAATATTTTGTTGATTGTTAATTTAATTTCGTTTTCAATTCATTTATGTTTCTCTAAGCTTAATGCTTCTAATTTATTTGGCCAATGAGTTAGATGATTTTTAGATTGCGAATTTGATGCTCGAGAGAGATTGAGTTCTTCATCTAGATTTGAGAAACATAGTCTAGGTTGTTTTGACACCGAGAGGAGATCAACGGTTAGATAATTAAATTAGGATTTAGGTCGTGAGGCCGAGAGGCGATCAATATTCCTATTTTCTAATTCTAAAGGGGAAGCCTAATTTGTGTTTTAATATTCATTTCAAATAGGGATATTGTTTTGGGTATTCAAATACAATTCCTTGTGAGGCACTCGAGAGAGGTTGCGAGGTGACATTAGAGCCTTGATTAATGAATTGAATGGAATTGATTAGCGATTACATAATAGGATGAACATAGGAATAATGAAGCGAAATCAAGTCCCTAGACCATTTGTGTATAGATACTTTATTTTTATTTTCTTATATTTATTTTGTTTTAGTTTTGAATCATCATCTTATTAGGTTGTCTAGATAAAGTTAAGTTACAATAATCGCAATACTTAACGGTAATTCTAAACCCAATCCCTGTGGAGATGATACTCACTCACCTTATACTCAAAACTTGACACCGTACGCTTGCGGAAATTTATTATACAAAAATATTAAGCATCAAGAAGCCACAGCCAGTAAAAAGGGGATTCTGACTGAAGAAGAACTAGGCCAAGAGAAGGAGAAAATAATAGAATGAGAAAAAAAAAGATGAAAAAAAGAGAAGCAGAGAGAGCTAGAATTAGTAATATACAGATAGAAAGGAGAGTAGTACTTAGCGGAGGTGATTTCCAATTTTCTTCATCCTGTGTGAGCTTGCTTGAAGAAGGAGAATGAGGAGAAAAAGCCTTGAAGCTCCAAACCAGCTGAATCCCTCTTCTATCTATTATATTTTATTTAATTTCTCTCTTATTTGCTATTTGTTGAACAATGGAACGTATTGAGCAATTGGATCTTGTGAATTTAGCTATGAGCTAAGTTGTTTTTAGCTAGGATTATTAATGGAACCAACAGAGTGTAAGAAAGATGGTTTTCTTATGGAATGTTTGTTGAATTTATTCGTGTTCATCTATGAGTATAGATTGATTATTGCTGAAAAGAAGACGTTCTTATTCTTTACAAGCCCAAATATCTAATATTCAGCGGGCGTAGTCAGTCGTTGTCAGTTGAACTCAAGATTCGATCATTGAGCAGCCATGTAGTGTATCCTTAAGTGTATGAGGAAAACTAGAAACTATAAGATAGTTTAGTCAGTAAAAGAGTTGTCTTTAGGTGGATACACAAACTTTGACTATGAGTCATGTATGGATTTTGAGAGTCAACATCTAAATTTGTGTTCACACTAGGTGAAGGAGCCATGATACGAAAGGTTGTTGGCAAAGTGTGATTGCTAATTCTATCATTAAGAGTTAATGTGTAGTAGCTTGTGAAGCAGTAAAAGAAAACAACCTAACTCTAGAAATTCTTAACTGATCTGGAAGTTATTCCAGGCATAGATCAGTCATGGACACCTAGAAAGTTTTAGGATTAGAGACATATTTTACCTGCTTTAGGACAAGTGGGAGATTGTTGGGAATGGTGTCCTAGAAGCATGAGATGTAATAGGATATTTATTATTTATTTAATAAAAGAGTTTATTCATTATTTTATGTGCATATATTTATGAATATCAAATAAAAATTCTATGATTATTTATGTGACCTTAAACGTTGTATCTAAGTGTTACATGCGAGAGGATAATGTTTAAGGATAATAATAAAAAATGGTGTTCATAATGAATTTAATTAAAGTTCTAAATCTTTAATTAAAACATTATTAATACATGTCATTCCCATTTAGAATGGAACGGTGTTATCCACACTGTTAATATGGTGAGATATTGAATGAGTGTATTTCACATAATGAGATTATGTGGAACAAGGACACGGACACAATATGAATTTCTAATAATTTCTGTTAACTATAGAAATTCTAATTGAGTCTACCGATGGTCATATATAGAATGATCTTAATCTTGAGTTCTTAACAGACTCCTATTTATGGATTTGTGTCTTTTGATTTACTCGGTACTGATTTTGAAATCTTGAATCCCATTCCTTGTATTTTCGAGACATGATGAAGTAGGTAGCCGGGAATGTTATTATACGAGATGGAATCCATTCCTTCTTGAGAAAGAAGTAGATAAATAATTCTCTTAAGGGTTGATTCAGTACTTGGACCAGTAGGAGCTCCGATTCATGAATGTGTTTTATGAATCACTGTCCATTAGAGAATCAATGCTACTTAAGGATAAAGATATAATTAGAGAGGTTAATGGATTTTACCTAGCTCTAATTATGAATTATTTATGGAGGATCGATCTATATGCAGTGACTATATCAAATGGACACTTCACAGTTTAGAAGTAATTTATATCTATAATTTCGAGAGTGCAATTCCAAATTTATAGTGGAGTAACTATTGGAATTAATATAATTAATTAATTAATTAAAGTGTTTAATTAATTATTAATTTTATTAGAGCTCAGGATTATTGGTCCATTAGTCCCCGCGTCATCCTAGTAATTCTACAAGACACAAAGGGCAAAATGAGAATTTTAGAATTACGGAATTCTAAAATTAAACACTCAAAAATAATTAAATTAATTATTATTTAAATAATGAGATTATTTAAATTTGAATTTAAACACATTTAGATTTATCCATTTAAACTTGTTTGATAAGTTGTTCAATTTAAAATTCAAATTAATTTAAGTTTGACTTAAATTAGAAATTGAATTTGAGTCAAAATTGGACTACAGGATAAATGATGATTTTCTCTTCTTTCCCTATCTGATATTGGCGCCTACACAGTGATGAGAATCCCCTATCTTGGCCGGCCATAATGGATAAAGGAAAAAATGATATGTTGTTCTAAATTCAAATAGGAGATAATTAACAAGCTTTATCTTGGAGATAGAGATTGAATTCCTTCTAGAAGTTTGATTTCTACTCTATAAATAAGAGAATAATAGAAAATTACGCGACACAATTTTTGAAACAATTTTTTGCCCTATTTTATAGGGTGGCCGAAATTCTCAAAGTGAGGGAAAATTTTTTCTCCAAAAAATTTCACATCGTGCATGCGTTGGTGTTTGTGAAAATTCGAGTGTTTATTCTAACCCGTTTTGTCTAAGGTGTGCCCACACACACGCACTACAACAAATATCAGTATCAATAGCTGACTAAAAACGTTATTAAACACTACCAATAGCATTTTATGGAGCGCTAGGACATCAGACGCTATTAAAAGATGTAAGAAAACAAAGCGTTCTAAGAGCGTTATGAAAAAGGCTATAGAATTGAGGTCTTATAGCGGTTAAGACAAGTTATTTTCAACCTCTTACAGCTATTTAGCATGGTTACGGTACAGATTAATAGCTTTTTTCCTTGTTATGTTCATACTCTTGTAGCTTTTTAAAATTATTATTCACATCCTTTTGAATTCATTGAAATAGATGGTAATTTCAAGCAACATCTTATATCTAAATAGGAACATTCAAATTAAAACATATAAACATTCAATGTAATAATTGTTATCAGTATCTACAAAGTTGGCAATAAGATGTTTACAACACAAGTCACATCATTTGTCCACAACTTTAACATTAAAAACAAGTAAAGAATACAACGAAATAACTAGAGATAACAAAGTGTCCAAAACGTCTAGCCAAATGAAATGGTTAAGTAAATAATTCATCTTGAGAAAATGCTCCAATAAAAAGGCCATCTCCTCTAGCAAAACAACTATTGACCTGTCACAAAATTAGTCCAAATAATTAATTAAAACATATAAATTGATTAACTAATAAGCACAAAAAGAAAAAACTAGATAAATCATACAAGTGAAGAGTAGAATAAATTTTATTATAAAGGCAGAAACTTGTGAGCAAGAGCACTTGAGTTATTTTATTAAAGAGATCTATCAATGCATTACCTAACATTGGTTCTTTCACAATTTTATTAAAGAGATCTATCAATGCATTACCTCAATAATTGAGTTCTTTTTCATCTTATTCTTTACATTGACATCTCTGACAAGGTTAGCACCAGGAAGACGGATGACATCATTTTTGTGCCTCACTTTATGTGTGATTGTGCAGACAAAAACATCTTAAATATATTTGAAATGGCAATTACTTCTTCTCATAAATTTCCATGGCAAAGTCCTACCATATATAGCTGTGAAGAAATAGATTGTCAGGGATATAGGGGGAAAAACATAATTGCATTCTCTTATTACAAGTCATGATTAATAACATAATTAATAACTAAGGATTCATGATCTTCAAAAATTTTCTACCAAACATAATACCTTTTCCAACCCGGATTGCTGTGAAGCAACACAAAAGTGCAAGCTTTCAGGGAGAGAAAGAATTCGAATATTAGTTCATTTTCTCAGTAATGCAAGACATGAGAATTTGGTCGTGCTGCTGGGATCATTTTCTGAAGGAAACAAAAGCTTCTTGTTTATGAATTTGTATGCAATTGTTCATTGGACCAACACCTATCAAGTAAGAGTCAAAAATAAGAAAGTTAAAGTTTAGGGAGGGATGGTTACTGCTACTGTATATAAGAAGAGGAATATACCAGAAGAGCTTGCTTCTTTTTGGAATGGGAATTTACAATGAGATCTCTTGAAACCTCATTCACCGATGAGTTTAGATGCCTTCTTCCATTCTGTGAAAAAAAAAATACGGAAACATTTAATTTATTCACATCCAGAGAAGTGATCAATGCAAGATGAAGCATGTTTATAAAAAATCTTGAGTACTTACCATGCAGATGACATTCGCAACCTTTAAGTCTCTCCACTTCCCTAACCAAATTCATACCCTTCACTGGCCAAAAGTAAGTATCAACATCTCATTTGAAACGTCATAGCGCCAACCTTAGTTTAAACTCTAAATAAATTTGTCACATTGCCAATATTGCTTATTGAAGAAGTGCAAACACTAATATAGACTTTTCACAGTTCAAAGAAAGGAATAAAAGAATTTCATGGGAGGACTTACCCATTACTTCATGATGCTCCATAACATGTTGGGACAAACGTTTGGCTACTCTAGAGTAGAAACATGGGAAAAAGAACACAAAGAACACAAACATGGGAAAAAGAAACACTCATCATGTCAAATTTAAGATGCATTCCGTTGATGATGCAAGAGAACCTGTCCTGTCATTCAATTCAGGTTTGTAGATATATCTGATCAAACCAGGTTTGTTGAACACCATTTGTTACTAAAATTTTCTAATAATCACTTTTAGGAGTTGTAAAAGCAATCTCGAGCTGGCCTACGATCCGAAGGACAAAAAATAAGAAAAGAAAATCAAATCTTGAAATGCTTGTTCAACACTTGCATACTTGGAGATAATATTGTATACACAAACTGATGTCTGCAACATCCTCATCCTTTTCCTTTTTTGTTCGGCAATTAAATGTTTGTATAAGCCACTAAGTACATCAAAGTATCTCATAGTTAAACTGCAAGATAATTATGTTACACACATGCAGATACAAACAAAACATTTTGTATGTTTGTTGTGCAAAATGTTCACCTTTTTTTTTCTTTCTATTAGAGCCTCAGAATTGTCTCTCTTCTGTAAGTTTAAGAACCAATAATGATAATATAAGAAGATAAAAGTTGAATCGTTAACAATGGTACCAAACCTTCCCAAGAAATGCTGATGAACCACCGAGACGAGCTATACCAACGGAAACGTTAGCAGGTGCGCCTCCCGGAGCTTTCTTAAAAGCAGGTGCTTCAGCCAATGAAAATCCATTAACAGTCAGGACGAAATCAATCAACAACTCGCCAAAACAAACCACGAGTGAGGACTGGTCTGCTTCTGACAATCTATCTCCTGGAGCTGGAATTGCTCTTCCTTAAAAATAAAAAAATAAAATAAAAATAAAAACTGCATCAATTTAGTTGGCGGAAAATGACGGTAAAAAGGAGAACAACTGAACTGAAGGAAAAGAAGAAAAATTAAAAAAAGTGGATCATTTATGCTGCTAATTCTTAAAGAATGCTCAATCAAGAAGATACTGAAGCTGACTTGCTAGCACTCAGTATCATTTCTTTACAATTTTCTCCTCCTCGATTTCTACCTCGATAATGGCAAATGGCAATGGCATGCGGTGTCAAAATTGTCACATCAATGTAGATTGTAATGCAGTAGTTGTTGTAAGCTACAAAATTTAACATTAACTGTAACACTTATCTCTAAGTTGGAACCAAAAAAATACTTTTCTGACTACATCAATTAACCGTGAATCACATTGGAGTTGTTTGGTTGTTCAAAACTTAAACAAACAAACAAACAAGAAATTTGAATGAAATTTCAAGAGAAAGGATGATTTACCTTTTACACAAGTGAATTTGGCAAATGAAGTAACAAATGGCGTTCAACTTCAGAATCTATTCCGAAAGTGATCGCAACTATTCCGGCGACCAATGGCAGCAAACTTGGTATGGATTTGTTCAGCTCGACGAGAGGAGTCCAAAGAAAGCACTTTCCTGAGGATTAAACGTCGGAAGGCGCCGGAAACTGCGTTGGAAGGTGCGGTGGCCGGGAATTTCAAACTAAAATTTCGGCCGATCGGCGGGGAATCGGGCGGCGTGGTGATGGGGGTTTTGTAGATCGGCTCATGGGCTTCTTGGATCTGATTTCGGATCATTGTGGGTTGGCCAGAGGTGGTCGGAATCGATGGCGGCGCATTTCTTCTTCCGTTGCGTTGGAAGGTGCGGTGGCCGGGAATTTCAAACTAAAATTTCGGCCGATCGGCGGGGAATCGGGCGGCGTGGTGATGGGGGTTTTGTAGATCAGCTCATGGGCTTCTTGGATCTGATCTCGGATCACTGTGGGTTGGCCAGAGGTGGTCAGAATCGACGGCGGCGCATTTCTTCTTCCGGCGTGGTGATGGGGGTTTTGGAAAGAGAGCGAGAGATGGGGAGATGGCAATTGGTGGTGGAATGTGTGAGGTTCGTTTGTGGGGCTGATTTTTGGAGAATGGCTGTGCTCTGGGCATGATTTATGGTCGTATCCCACTTGCAGATTTTGCTTCCAAAGCTCTTCTCTCTCAGTTCCATAACTTACCCGCGTTTTACTTCTTTTTCTTTCACATAAACCTCGTTCACTTTGCGGATTTGAATTTTCAATTCGAGTTGAGATGTGACATTTTCAGAGAGTTTTTTACTGTAGCAGAAAAAGTTAGATGTGATATTTTCTAAGAGCTTTTTACTGTAGAAACTTAAAACTGAAAACTCGAATCGGAGAAATGAACAAAGCTATAGTGGTGAATTTCAATTTTGACCTGGAAGCTTCTAAAACATTTGCAGAGTAAAATGAAATTTGGGGGGGAAACTACTTTCATAATCTGTCAAAATATTTTATGGTTGTTTAATATATACATATATATATATATATATACACACACACCTAAAATAACTTTTTTAAAACGCTATAAAATGTAATTAAAATAAGTTTTAATAGCGGTTTTTTAAAAACGCTATAATTAAAAGTTATCAAAAACCTTTTTTTGTTGTAGTGACGTCTTTGTGGATTCTAAGAATTGACGTGGAAGACATTGATTTTCTAAACACAAAGCTTTGGAGCAAGGATTGTTCGAGGTCATAGAACTCAAGTTATCATCTTAATCGGCCGTCAGATATTATTCCTAATTGAGTTCTTAATAAATAAATTAATGTGATTAATTTATTCGTGCATAAATTAATATAATCTATAGAGTATCTCAAAGGTTTTTGTGAAAATTTTTATTATACACGATCCGCCTCCCCCACGCTTCCGCATCCAAATTTGATTCGGTAACCAACATTTTCTTATTAGCTTCGTATTTTTGTGTTGTTTCTACAATATATGATCAGTGAATCAATCCTCGTGGGATCGACACTCTTATTCACACTTTATTACTTGAGGCGACTCATGCACTTGCGAGCATAAAAATTACGCAATAAGTGACTATATCAAATGGACACTTCAAGTTCTTAGACGTAAATTATGTCTATAATTTCGAGAGTGCAATTCCAAATTTTTAGTAGAGTAACTTTTCAGAATTAATAGAATTAGTTAATTAACTAAAGAGTTTAATTGATTATTAATTTTATTAGAGCTCAGAATTATAGGTCCATGAGTCCCCGCGTCATCCTTATATTATTTTTAAAACAAGATGACCTATCGGGATTTTATTTCACTCGCGAATAATTAATTGAGAATTAATTATATATTAAATATTGTGATTATTAAATTATTTTGTCACGGACCACAGGGGGCGTGTGACACTGAGAAAAATCCCATTGGGATTTAGTTGATTGCTCTCCAAGTAATCCAGTTTACTTGTTTTATAAGTTTTCCAATTAAATTCAAAAAGAAAAGTAAAGTGTTACTTTATTTAGATTTTAATTTGAACTAAAATTGATAATTGGAGAAAGCAAGAATTTTTTTCTCTTCTCCTTGTATGGCTAGCCACACTATAAGCAAAAGGGAAGGAAATTTTGTTTCCAAAATTAAAAGGGAAAGGAAAGTTTGTTTCCACAATTAAAAGAAAACTGTATTTTTAATGAGATTAAAAATATAGTAGTTACAAATTTCCTATTGCTTTGTCTACAAGCAAAGGCTTCTACTAATCATCATTTTGCACATTCAAGGGGTAGATGAGGAAGGCTTGGGTTTTCTAAGAAAGCTTTGGAGTAAGGATTGTTCGTCGGCTAAAGAAATCAAGTTATCTTCCTAATCGTTAGCAATGTATCTATCGTTATAAACTAATGAGATTAATTTATTATTGCATAAATTAATATAATCTATAGCGTATTCAAAAGTTTTGTGAAAATTTTTATTATACACGATCCGCACTACCACGCTTCCGCACTTTGAAAACGTTTCAAAACCAACAATAAGAACATTAACCGATCAAGGATAGCTCAGACCTAGCTGCCATGTCAGCGGGCAACTCTCTTAGGAGCTGACTGCTAGAAAGAGGTGTCAAACATACGTAGGAGGTCGACTGTTTTGAAAAGACAGAGGATGATATTAGGTCAACCGTACATACAATCGTAGGCAGAGATTATTCTGGGAGCGTTTATAAAGTCGAGGCTATAAAAGATGGGAGATTCGCGAGATTAGCTCCAGGGTTCGCTATTTGTAATTTGAATATATGAAATTTTAATAAGGGAATCATCCTGATTGATTGTGATCTCTATCTTTTGGGAAACTATCCCAAAAAATAAGGGAAATCTCTTGGAATTAAATAGAGAAACAAGCAAGGGTGATGATCTAGAATATAAATAAGGGATTGTAGGTCAAAAAGATCCTCAAGTCTCATTATGAGCATTAGTACATGTAATTCCTCTAAAGATAGTGAAATTTCTCTCCTCTCCACAATGGACGTAGCTCTCCAATCGAGGGTGAACCACTATAAGTTCTTTGTGTTCTTGTTTAAATTCCGCTTTTAATTGTATTTTAGATAATTAAATTCGCGTAAACCGTTCAGAAATTTGTTATTATTTTGTTGACGAATTCTCACCGTCAACAGCTTGTATTATGTGTTGTCAGATAATGTCGCTAATAGGGTTATATATTGTCATTCAAGCCTGTTTGTTATCATTCTGTTGTTTATTCATTTGATGTTCTTTTCTAGGTTATGTCGTTCATCTATATGTATGTTGTTTTACGATAATCTAATCTTTTGACCAAGTGATGTTGTTAGGGGATTTTCCCAAGACAGCCTAAGATCACGACACATATCAAAAACTCAGTCGTAGAAAGAAGACTCAGGCCAGGGCGTGCTAAGTTATTGATACCTACCTTGATCGAGAGAATGAGTGGACCTCATTCGAGAGGGACCGAGACTGAACCGAGAACAAGGCTGAGATCGCCAAAGACTCTGACACATCGAGACCGATGTAGATTGAGATCGAGGAGAAGCAGGAAACACACGTGGCAATTGGAGAATCCTGAGGCAGTGACACATGCCTCACTTTCCTCTAATTAATGCAACCAATACGAATGCGATGCATGTAAAGTCAATAACATAATTGAAAGTGACCTTTTCTAGATGAGGATGCTTCTAAGGGCTTTCTGAAAAAAAGAATGTCCTAAGAGAAATCCTAAAAGAAAAGGATGGACAACGTGTCATGATCAAGATTGATTAAGAATATCCATCTGATCATGACAATGAAGGTATAAACAGAAAACAATAGAGGTTGAGAAGGGATCCGCTGCTTGAAAAGAAGAGGAGACCCTCTGAGACCTTTTGGAGACTTTCTCTAATCTAAATTTCCCTCTCTATCTTTCCTTCATTCTTAGATCATTTGGATATTTACCTAAATTGAATGTCGGAGTGTCTTCTGCAAAACAACCCCCCCAACTACGAAGTGAATGGAAGACGGTAGAGGAGAAGACAGAGCATCCCAAAAGTTGATGTTTGGAAAATCACACAAACAGATGTCTTCTTTTGTCATTGTCGTTTCTCTATTAATGTAATTTTAATTTGTATGTCTTGCAATCCCCGTCTCGAAAATTCTAAATCCTTTCATCTTTTCCTATGTTCTTCTTATGGCAATGAGTATAAATTACGATATTTTCTATCAGTGGAACAGGAAGAACAAACAAAAATATTGGGTCCTAACGAATGAAATTTATAGTAATCTCTGTGCTACGATAATGAAATTCAGGGCTACACATCATGATCTTGAAGCCCGATTGGTTATCAACATGACTGAATGCAATATTGTTCGTGATTGGGTCATTAGTAAGAATATTGATATAAATAAAAATCGTATAATAAAAACTTTTTAAACCTCCTTGAGAACCCACAAGTAAAACCAATTAGAGGTACAACTTATGTAAATTACAAGTTACTTTAGTTGAAGAATTGGCTAAGTTGACTACCCTGTAAAGTGAATGTGGCAAAACTACTTTCTTTAGTTTTCACTGAACAGCCATTTTGTCACACAATGTAATTAGTGAGTCGCACAGGTGGTTTGCAAATTAGAATTTTTAAAAAGATATTTTACTAATAAAGCTTTCGTATTGCACCATTTTACAAAGAACTCATTTTACTTTAGGCAAAATCAAATATATGAAAAGTTGCAAATTATTTCTTAATAAAGCCACTATATAGAAACCCAAAATAATTACTTGCTTATTGATTTTCATTTATTAGTGAAAAAATGGTTGAGAACACTATGGTACTAAGCACAACTACTACTATAATGTGGGCTCCATGTTAGTGTGGTACTCAGTACTACCACCAGTTCTCTAACATCAGTCGACATAAAAATTAGTATTATTCCCCACTATAGAATTTTCCTTTTTTTCATATTAATTGATAATATGGTGACACTAGCAACTTGTTCTCACCCACTGCCCTACAGTACTCAGTAAAATATACACCTCAAGCCGCATAGAATATTTGTCACAGGAAGGATTATAGACTTTTAAAGCTCAACATTGAGGCAAATCAGGTATGGATTTTAACTTAAATAGCATACAAGTATTGCACCTAGACTTAATTTGCTACTATAGATCGGAGATAATGGTAATAAATAAGTTAATCTTGCACACAACTTTACTATTTAACCCATCCTGTAGATATCAAAATTAACTTTAATTTATAACCTCCACCACACTAAGTTGTGCTCTCCCATACCAAACACCAGAGAGAAAATGAGTGCTGCCTTGACCAAACATGCAACATTTCTTCTTCAACTTGTACTTTTTCTCATTTTCATAATTGCCACAAAAAATGTGGTTGCAAAGAGGGCACAAGTGAGGATCATAAACCAACTGAGGGCAGATTTGAATCTGACGGTTCATTGCAAGTCCAAGCACAGCGATTTGGGAGTCAAAGAAATCCCTTTTGGAGAGTCTTTTGAGTTCCAATTTACGCCAAATATTTGGGGCACTACCCTATTCTTTTGTGGCATGCAATGGAAATATAGCACTGTTCACTTCTTTGATATCTACAAAGGACGCAGGGATAGAAAGAAATGTAGTATTTGCTGGTGGATTGTAAAAGTTGGTGGTCCTTGTATGCTAAATTATGGGACTGGAGATTTTGATATTTGTTACCAGTGGAACACTAAGAGTTATTTATTAGACTAATTGCCCTCTCTAGTGTTTCTTTTTCTAGAGTGAAATAAAGGGGCAAAACATGATCTTGGAGCCTCATTAGTTATATATATGGATATGAATATTATATATTGACTAATAAAACATTTTTTTCTTTTATTACTTGCTTGTTTTGAATTTTCATTCCTTTTTAGAGTAACAAAATCTTATAGAAAATAGTGGATGTATTAAAGTGCTAAATAACTTTCATCGGTCTTCCGTGTATTTTTATAGGACTATTGTAAAAATTCCTTGTAGATTTTGTCATTAGTATTAACTTACTCCCAGACTTTTTAAATGTTCTAATGCTACCCTCTAACTTGATAAAAGCGGTAATGTGGTTGTCTTTCTGTACGTGTTTGGTAAAAAGAACGTTATGTGAGCTTGTTTGCTGAAGTCTTCTTATTTTCAAACTCCTGGCGTACACTACTCCTTGTGCGTAATTATTAAGTATTGGTAGAACCGGTTCTTGTTGAGAGTCATGCCTTTGTATTGCAAGTTTATTTACACTTTTAATTTCTGGTTTTCTTTAATGAAATCTCCTTTAAAAAAAGAAAAATAACATTAGGCAAGTAGTTGGTTTTTCGTCCTTTTAAACAAACGGAAGAGCCAACATTGTCCAGTTTTCTAAAATTCAGGAAGTTAGGTTGGCACATTTGAAAAGTCTGTTGATAAGTTCATAATAATGACAAAATCCGAAGAGATTTTTTGCATTTGTCCATTTATATATTATTTTGATTTGATTATGATATGATAAACAATAAGCATTTCCTATTATAAGAGCTCTCTTTTTAACAATTTTGGATCTTACGTAGTGTTGTGTGGGAAAATATGAAGAAAATGTGGAAGAACGATAATATGACACGTAACCTTAACTACTCCCCGCAAATCAACAACCCTCGACGTCTGGGGCTCCCTCCCATTCCGTTATAAAGAACCCAAGTGAAAAGTCAAACTTAGGGCGTCGATTCCTTCTGGAGTCGACAGATCGTACCGTCGACCTTAGGACATAGAAATCCCTCGACTATGGAACCAACCGCCAAGAAGGACAGTTGGGTTAAGCAACACTGGCGACGAGGGGAATGCTCTTTGAGAAAAAATCTGACTTGGCAAATTGCGTACAAAAGTGGGGGATGACTGCAAGGCAGGCATTTATTGCGAACCCTTAAACTGCCCCACAGGGGACTAGAAAAGGGTTACAGGAACGCACAGAGCCGTAATAGAAGACTAATTAGCTGAGTGAACAGTACTCCAAGTAATTAGTGGGCTACGTCTGGGCCTAAAAAGGGAGAGCACTTGAGTGCTTCTGCTTACAAAGGAAATCAACCCAGCGAAGGAAGCCCCCAATATAAAAAGGGCGAGACCCTATACAGGAAAGGGGTTGAGATCCAAGAGAAAAAATAATGAGAAAGAACAATTGATGTAAATTGTAATCCCCTCAAAAGAAATATACAACCACAGTGGATGTAGCTCTGATTTTATAGAGTGAACCACTATAAAATCACTTGTGTTCCTTATTTGTGCACATCTTTTATTAACGCACAATACACCCCTCCAACAAATTCTTACACACATTCAACACTAAGGCCGGTAATCCAACGGGAAACCCAGAGGTAACCCAGCCTATTTTTGTTGACGAGAATTCACCGTCAACAATTGGCGACTCCGCTGGGGATCGAAAGCGTTTGACCCCCAACAACATAGTTAGCAAGCACGCCTCCAAGAAAGAGAATTGAGGCCATCAACCGAGGCAGCCAGACGGACGAAACCGCCACCCATCCAGGGAATAACGGGATGGAAGAAGATCCACGCCCGGTCAGAAACGAAGTCCCACTCCCAGACACGCCACGGCCAGATCCTGTGCAGATGCAGGCCCAACTAACCACTCTAACCGAGCTGGTACGTGGGCTAATGACTGTGGTTGAGCGCTTAGATGGAAAGAACTCTATGTCGCCGTTAGAAGACATCCCGAGGCCACTGGGACCTGCCATGGCTGAAAACCCGAACCCCGGTGACCGCCCACATATCCAAGAGGGAACCGGGGACAGCGAGAATCACCGGGGCCCTCCTAGGCCTCGACCTTCCCAATCCTCCAGCAGCCGTTTAAGGGCCGCCGGACTCCGGGTCCCGAGGATCGGATACCGAGAGGCCCGGGAAATCCTGAGGTACTACCCCAAAATCCAGGGGGAACCCCACCAGGAGACTCAAGGTCAGTACAGGCGGGCGGCCAGGCAAGGGACGGACCCAACGTTCAAAGGGTAGAGGCGTCGAGAGTAGCTGGCTCGGCCATCTCAAGAGAAGAAGCGCGCGCCATCATGGAACGTATGGCCAGCCTGGAGCAAAAACTCACAGGGGACGTGGCAGGCCTGAAAAAGAATATAGGGCGAGTGGCTGAGATGGTAAACGTCGACATCACACCTAGCTGCACACATGACCATCCGTTTACCGCAGAAATAATGGCGCCCCCTCTCCCCAACAAATATAGGTCACCGTCGATCCCACCATATGATGGTCGAGGGGATCCCGACGATCATTTGGAGATGTACACAGGACACATGCTCTTACACGGGTATGCTGAGGAAATCATGTGCCGAGCTTTTCAGAACCATTTAACGGATTCTGTCCGAAGATGGTTTCGGACGCTGATGCCAAATTCTATCTCAAGTTGGGATGAGTTAAAGGAAGCATTTTCCCTCCAATTCATAGGGGTTAAAAAATACGTCCCCCCGAAGCAGAATCTGACGACGATATACCAAAAGCCGAACGAGCTATTAAAGGAATGGCTTGCAAGATATGGGGAAGCTGTCACCGTCACGATGGATATAACAGACAGAGAGGTCTTGATGGGGGCATTATCTAGCATGAAGAAAATTACCCCCTTCAAGAGAGAGTTGAACCGAAAACCCTCGTCCAGCTACAAGGAATTTCTTGCGCAAGCGCAAGGGTACATCAACGCCGAAGAGGCAGACGCAAATGACCCCGAGCATAGGTCCAACAAGAATAAAGGGACCGAACAGGGGTCGACACCGGCAAAACAGGACAGGAAGAAGCGTCGAGGTGGAGGAAACGGAGAGAAGCAGCCAGCTGCGACGACGAGCGCTCCAGAAGCTAAGAGGCCAAGGCAAGAGGATACCCTTAAGCCTCGACTGTTTCAAAAGTACGATTCCTACCACGAGCTAACGGTAGGAGTTGAGGAGGTTTTCAACCAGGTCGGACGCTGAAACCTGCTGCGCCGACCAAAACTGATGAAATCGGATCCCAGCCGAAGGAACCAAAAGAAATTCTGTAGGTTCCACGGCGATGTCGGCCACCACACCAACGATTGGGCCGACCTTAAGGATGAAATCGAGAGAGTAATCCGCGAGGGGAGGCTACAGGAGTTCAAAGCCGAGCGGAGACCTCAAAACGACGGCCACAGTGGACAGAATGACGGTCGACGCCGAGAGGAGAACCAGCGCCCAGAGGACCGAGAACCCGTCGGCGTCATACGAACTGTCCTCGGCGGCCCCTATATTAGAGGAGACTCAAGGAGGTCTCAGAAGGACTACGCCCATGAGGCTAGGGGGGTTTACTAGGAAAGATTCTGGAGCGTCTCCGCTATAAAAACCCCAAGGTATAGCCACTCCGACGTGGCCTTTAATGAGGACGACGCCAGCGGAGTTCACTTCTCCCACAACGACGCATTGGTGGTGGAAGCTATGATTGGAAACCACACTGTGTACTGAATCCTGGTAGATAATGGGAGTTCGGTGAACCTCCTATATTCCGACTGCTTGAAAAAAATGGGGATCCGAAAGGAGCAGTTAGAAAAACCTCCAGGCCATTATACGGTTTCACCAAGGACTCCGTCATCCCTCAGGGGACTATCCGGTTGCCCATAACCGCAGGAGAGAAATCCTGACAGACTACGACAATGGCCAACTTTGTGGTAATAAAGGGAGGCTCCCAGTACAACGCTGTAATCAGGAGACCAACCTTTCAGGCGCTAAGGGCAATAACCTCCGTCTACCACCAGAAGGTCAAGTTCCCTACCCCAAACGGCGTAGGTGAAATGAAGAACAACCAGTATGAGGCTAGGGTTGCATACTCCGATGCCCTGCGTGGATACGACCAGCCAAGGAAACAGGAAACTGGGATGGTCTATCAAAACACCGTCGAAGACATAGACCCCAGGGTTCAAGAGGAGGTCACATGGTCCCAACCCATCGAGCAATTGGTGGAAATCCATGTTGATGAAGGCGAGCCAACCAAAATTCTAAAAATAAGCTCAGACCTAGCCCCATCACTTAAGGTCGAGATCGAAAACTTCCTCAGAAAGAACTTAGATGTCTTCCCCTGGAATCATGCTGACATGGAAGGGATCGACGCCAAGGTTATATGTCACTCCCTGAATGTCGACCTGTCATATCCTCCCAAGTGCCAGAAGCGTCGACCAATGAACCCCGAGAGGTATGAAGCACTAAAAGATGAAGTCGACAAGCTGATCAACAATGGGTTCATCAGGGAGGCCCATTACCCACGTTGGGTCTCAAACCCAATTTTGGTGGTCAAGCCTAACAGAAACTGGAGAACATGCGTCGACTTCAGCGATCTGAACAAAGTCTGCCCAAAGGATGGCTTTCCACTCCCTCGAATAGACCAGATGGTCGATGCCACAGCGGGAGATGAGATGCTGAGTTTATACAACCATATCCTCATGCATCCAGCCGACGAGGAGTACACATCTTTCATAACCAACAGGGGCCTCTACTGCTACAAGGTGATGCCTTTTGGCCTGAAGAATACGGGGGCTACCTACCAGAGGCTCGTGAATAAGATGTTCGCTCAACAGCTCGGCAAAACAATGGAGGTCTACGTCGATGATATGCTTGTGAAAAGCGCCAAGGCCAGCCAGCACGTCGACCATCTAGGTGAAATGTTTGGTGTATTGAGAAAATACCACATGAAACTAAATCCCCAAAAATGTGCCTTTGGAGTTGGGTCAGGGAAATTTCTCGGTTTTATGGTCAGCAACCGAGGGATAGAAGCTAACCCTGAGAAGATTAAAGCCCTACAGGATATGCGGTCCCCAACTAAGCCAAAGGAAGTGCAAAAGTTGATAGGATGTGTCACCGCCCTAAACAGGTTTATATCAAAAGCAACAGACAAATTATGTCCCCTTCTTCGATGCTTTGAAAGGAAGCAGGCGCTTTGTGTGGACACCGCAATGTGAAGAAGCCTTCCAGAAATTGAAGGAACATTTGGGCAAGCCCCCAATTCTGTCAAAACCAAACCCCGACGAGGAGCTTAGCCTATACCTCTCCGTGTCCCAACATGCCGTAAGCTCCGTACTAATAAGAGAAGAAGAAAGGGTGCAATTGTCAATCTACTATGTGAGCAAAAGGCTCCTCGACGCCGAGTTGAGATATAGCGAAATGGAACGCTTGGCCCTCGCCCTAATGGTAGCTTCAAGGAAGCTTCGACACTATTTCCAATCTCACATAATACGGGTTCTTACAAACCACCCGTTGAGACAGGCTCTACAAAAGCCCGAAACTTTCGGGTGACTTCTTAAATGGTCGGTAGAGTTAAGCCAGTTCGACATTAAATATGTGCCAAGAACTGCGATCAAGGGCCAAGCGCTGGCCAATTTTCTAGCTGAGTTCTCCTATAGACCAGCTCCCGCCACACTTGAAGGAGTCAAGAATACAGAATGCAAGCTCTACGTGGATGAAGCGTCGAGCGATAACGGGTCAGGAGCCGGCGTCTTGTTAATTAGCCCAGAAGGCCACAAGATTACCTCGGCGGTTCGATTTAAATTCAAGGCGTCAAACAATGAGGCAGAATACGAGGCGCTAATTACAGGGTTGCGATTGGCCAACCACCTAAAGGTCGAGAGGCTCAGCGTCTTCAACGATTCTCAATTGGTCATCGGGCAAGTGAAATAAGAATACCAAGCGCGCGGCGAGAAAATAGGAGCGTACTTGAGAAAGGTAAAGGAAGAACTTGTCAAGTTTAAAAACTACGAGATACTTCAGATACCACGAGCGAAACACAAACACCGACGCTCTAGCAAAGCTAGCATCTTCGAAAGATTCTGACACACTAGGGGTCGTTCCCATCGAAGAATTGGAGCGGCCGACCATTGAGGAAAAAGCTAAGGCATTAATCGTCCAAACAGATGAAAATTCGATGAAGCCACTCATCCAATACCTAATGGACGCACAACTGCCAAGCAATAAAGACGAAGCCAGACGGATCAGATATAGAGCTGCTAGATACTTATAGTACGATGGCTTATTTTACTGACGAGGCTACTCAACACCTCTACAGCGGTGTCTGGATGATGCCGAAGCCCAGAAGTTCATCCGATAAATCCATGAAAGAGTATGTGGTAATCATACTGGGAGGTAGTCTTTAGTTCTTAAGGTTTTAAGGCAAGGATACTACTGGCCCACGCTCAAAAAGGACGCTTTCCAATACGCCCGACATTGCGATAAATGCCAGAGGTATGCCACAATTCCTTGAGCACCCCCAGAAAATTTAACCTCCATTCTCAGTCCATGGCCCTTCGCCAAATGGGGGGTTAACCTGATCAGGCCACTACACCTTGCACCTGGAGGCTTTAAGTTTGTCATCGTCACGGTAAACTACTACACGAAATGGGCAGAGGCAAAGGCTTTAACTACGACCACAGAAGCAGCCTGCACCAAATTCATGTGGGACAACATTGTGTGCAGGTTCGGGATTCCCCACTCAATAGTATCTGACAACGGAAAACAGTTCGACAATGCCTCAACACACAGATTCTGCGACAGTTTGGGCATTCAGAAAGACTTCTCGGCGCCAATACATCCATAATCTAATGGGCAAGTCAAGGCAGTCAATAAAATATTAAAGTATACCCTCTGATTAGTGCATGAAAATACACCCTAAATATTGCTTTTGATTTACACAATATTAAAATATTTAAGCTTTAATTAAACAATTCCATTATTTTTATTCATAATATTTTTAATTAGAATTTGTCTAGTTTTTGTTTAATTATTTACAGATAAAAAGCAGTGTAAAAAACTACACAAAAAAAGCCATGAAAGCCATGTTTTCAAACCACTCGGAGCCAAGCTCTCAGCCGAGCCGCACAAGCCGATCAGAGAGAGGGAGAGCCGCGTGAGCCGAGCCACAAGCTGATTCCAGCTCTCCCACGTTTCCTCACTCTTCCTCGCGCGCGTCACCTGCCCGCATGGCCTCAACGCGCGCGTTCCTTCCACGCAGACATCAGCGCGCGTTTCAGCTTCTCCCGCGTGGGTCCCGCGTCTGCAATGCCAATCTGATTTCCCAATGAAGCCGCGCCAGATGTCAACTTTGTCCCCTGTCTGACCATCGCCAGCTCCGTCCGCCCAATCTGCCCGCAACACGTGGCGTTTTTCCTCCTCACTGCCAATCACGTTGCGACACGTGTCCCCTTGGTGTTGAATCTGAATTTCTCCATCAATATCAGAGGAAATTGGCAAGATTTCTTCCCCAAATTAAATATATGATTTCTCCTAATTTATGTGTAATTTTATTTTGTTTCCTTTTCTTTTGTAATTTTCTAGTTTTATAATTTATTTTCTTATTTGACAGGCAACCTCTGAACACTATAAATAGAGGGGTTGGCCTAAGGTTTTAGAAGCTTTGAATATTCAGTTTTCTGTCGTCTTGCTGTCAGTCTCATATTTTCTCTCTAGAACTTGTGAGAATGTTTTGCAAGATAGGCTAGAGTTTTCTTGCTGAGGTCAGAGATGAACTTCTGTTGAGTGACCCAATTCGGGGTTTTGATTCCTTGTTCTGTAAACTTCAACATCTGAATGAATTAAATCTCATCTATTTTTCTATTACTTTTCAAAATATTGTGTGCCAATTTTTATATAAGTTCAGTCACGCTTTTCTTATGTAATTATGTCACGCATTGTTTTGTCATTCTAATTATTTTACAAATTGTCTTTTACTGCAATATTGTCAAATTGATATATTGTCGATTTTAGATAACTTGTAATAATAATATTTTCTGAGCCAACATAGAGATTTGATTTATTCGATTATTTTATTTTGTAAATCAAAACTTGAATTGGTGAACGAAGCATTAGGGATTCTAGACACCTTACCGTTTTCTTCATACAGATTTTCTCCTTTTTATTTTATTTGCAACAAAAAGCTCAAAAGCTCTCATTTTTCTTTAATTCACTTTTCTCTAATGCTC